CATGGAAAGTTCCTTAGATACGAGTTCTTCTGGCTTCATCCGGACAAGTTTTGCCAAAGAGATTTCTTCACGGAGCACACGGTGGAAGAGGCCCTATAAACAAACACTTGTTAGTCCCACATTCAAACATGTGCATGTGAGCAGCTGTGGAGAATGTAACTTAGCCTGAGCCTAGCCCCGCACCCGGTACACAGCAAGTAGGGGCCCAGAAGGGCCAAGGCCACAGGCCAATTTCATGGTCCATGCTGTTATAGCTCTGCTAAAAAAGCCTCCTTGGCAAGCTCTACCCATGAAGACAACACAGGAGACAAGCCAAGGCTGCAGTTAGGAAGATGGGTGAATCCAGCCCTACTCTAACATGGGCAGTCTGTCACAAGGTGGGGGAAGCAACCACTTAGGTGTCGGCCTGGGAGGCAGGGTATGAGTGGTGCACATTCTCCAGCTGAGACAGTGCAAGCAGGTGGGCACCTCCTCCTCCCATTTTGTCTTAACCAAATGGGAGTGGGAGGCCTCTTGTCCCCTGGTGACTGAGTCCTCTTGTTCAGTGCTATCAGTGGCTCCTGCCAGGCTGTTCATGAGCATGAGAGGGGAAGTACTTGTTAGTAGGGAAACAAGGCAGACAGGCTGGTGGAGCTGTCCTCTCCAACACAGAGCCAAACCTGTGCAGTCAGCAGGCAGCTGACTGGGCAGCTGGAGCAGGGCTGACAGCACTAGAAGCACCGCCAGGTGTGGAGAACGAATGATGGGCTTAAGGACACCATCAGATGGGAAAAGCTTCGACCAGGAGGCAGGACATCTGACAAGCCGACCAGGAAACTCAAGGGACAAAAAGAGCTCAGATGCCACATCTCGATACTGCTTGTGACACTCCAGCTACAACTGTGGCTGGAACCGAGAGGCTCCAGGGCACACACCTGGTTTTTAGGATCCTTGAGGTTGAACATGATGCTGCGGTACTTGCTCTTGTAGCGGTTGTCTGTCACTTGGAACAAGTTGAACATTTCCTTCTCAATGTGGAGGGCTACTCTGCCCACTTCGTTTTCAGTCATGATGAGGTCATCGCTGTCGCTGACTCTGTAGAGTAGAGATCTCCATGAACCACACTGTGCCCATGTCTACACCCTTGAAAGATGATGGTTTACAGAGAGAAATTCCAACTTAAAAGGTGAAAAGGCCCACCTTTTCCACAAAATCTCTTTGAGCGAGCGTCGTATGTTCTGCCGAATTTGAGAATTTGGCTGTGATGGGGTGGGCCCTGCAGCCCCAAGACGCCCAGGTGCTGGAGAGGGCGCAGGTACAGACACAGCCACTAGCTTCCTCATAGCTCCTGTCACAGCTGCAGCAGAAGGGCCAAGCACCTTCCGAGGGCCGGATGCTGCTGCAGGTGCCACACCTGGCTGCCTGGCAGTAGATGTACTGCCCGTGGGTACTGAGAGACAGGGCCTCTTGGGAATTGTACCCTTGAAGGCCGAGGGGGACTTCTTCACAAGCGGCTTGGTTGCTGACACGTGGGTGAAAGTAGGTGACTTCTTGGGAACGAGCTTCCCAGGCTGCTTACCAAGCACGGGGGCCAATTTCTTGGGTATGCTGACAGCGGTCGCTGGTTTCTCCCTTGGCCGCTGGTCGTCTTTCACAGCTGTAAAAACAGAAGCAGGTGCATCACAAAATCAGCACAGGGACACCTTGAAGTTAACCAGCACACCTAGTATTACTCTATCAGATTTATAACAGAAAATGATGTTAAAATAGTAAAATTCAGTAAAGAAGTACAGAGATGAGGCTGCAGGTTGTTATGATGTGCCGTCGAGTCGCTTGAGACTCATAGCGGCCTTATGTACAACAGCCCTAAACTCTGCTCTTGTCCTGTGCCAGTCACACTGTCTCTGAAACACCCATCCCAATTACCCCAGTCAATCAACCAACCCACCTCAGAGGGCCTTCCCCTCCTGTGCTGTCTCTCCACCCTACCAAGCATGATGTCCCTCTCCAAGGACCGGTCCCTCATTACAACATGTCCAAAGTATGTTAGACGGAGCCTCAGAATGCTTGCCTCCAAGGAGCCGCCCAGTTTAACCCTCTCCAGGATGAATCTGTTTGTTTCCCTAGCAGACCATGGTACATTCGATACTCTTCTCCAGCATCACAGCTCAAAGGCATCAATTCTTCTATCCTCCCTGGTCATTGTCCAACTCTCTGATGCATAACAAGTGATTGCAAAGACCATGGCCTGTATCAGACACACTTTAGTCTCCAGAGAGTCACCACTGCTCTTCAGTACTTTGGAGAGGTCCCTAACAGCAGACTTTTCCATCATCTTTTAGTTTCCTGGCTGCAGGTAGGGTTTGATAATGGCAATTTATTTCAGGGGAAAAATGTTATTACATTAAATCAAACCTTTACTTCCCTCAGCAAACTCCGGTTATTGCACAAGCTTAATTAAAATTGTTAGTTAAATCAAAAAGCAAGATTTAGAATAGTGATTTTATTATTAGGACTTTAAAGATGACGTATACGTAAGCACGACTTTTCAGTGTTGCCCACAAAGGATGCAAGGGTATTTCTGATACACAAAGGCCTCCTCTGTGGTCCTCTGGCTTTCTCAGGAGCCAGCTGAGGACAAGTGTGGTCAGGTGGGCGGTGACAGGTACCTGTGTTATTCTGGACAAAAGCCAACTAAAAAGAAGATGAAGTACAAATGTTTTGTTGACAGGTGCCGTCAAGCCAAGTACAACTCAAAACAACGCTGCAAAAGATCTGAACCGTGTTCTGTCCTGCATCATCTTCACACTTCCTGACACACTGGAGCCCACTGCAGCAGTCTCTGTGTCAATCCGCCTAATTGAGGGTCCTCCTCTCATCTGCTGACTCTCCCTACCCTTCCAGGCATCATCTACCTCTCCAAGGAAAAGCTTGTTCTAGCTACATGCCCCAAGTACTCTAAGCCTCCTTATCCCTGCCTCTAGAGAGGACTCCGGCTGCACCCTCTCCAAGACTTATTTTTCTTTGGGCTGTTCGGTGCTCTTCTCCAACACCACAGCTCAAAGGCATCAATTCTTCTGTCATCCATATCCACTGTCCATCTCTCAGATGCACAGCAAGTGACTGGAAAGGCCATGGCCTGAATCAGATGCATCTTAGCCCTCAAACTGACATCATTATTCCTCAATGTTTATAAGTTTGTAAATGCTGATTACTTTAAGATGAATAAACATGTGGCACAAAAACATCGATGTCCCAGTGACAATTCTGCACACAGTAACAAGCAGTAAAGGGTAACCTTGTCCAAATAACAAGACCTCTTTATTCAAGATAATTAACAGGCTAAAAAGCTGGTCACATCAGCAGCACTTTCAATCAGCAGAACCAGGTGTCTGGTAAGCCAGGCCACAAGCTGTATAGCACCAACATTAGGAGCTCTCTCTTGAGGGAGGATCTGAACCGTGCCTCTGGGATTGCAGTGCAGAAGAAAAAGCACACTGCCTAGGGCAGGTGGGAGCCCCAAGGGAACTGGCACATCAATCCCAGCAGAGCTAAGACCGGAGCTAACAGATCAGTGTTCAACGAAGGACCAAATGACAAAGGATGACTTGAGGGGCCTGACCTTCTGTAAGCTTTTCCTCCACCCCGGAAATAGCAAGCTACCCTGAATTCCCAGGCATCTTACCAGGGATATTCTCTGGAGATCCTGGCCATTTTTGAAAGATTACACCAAGCAAGTGAGATCCCTGCTTCTCCTCCTCACACTTTTTGCTTCCCACAAACTACGAAGATCCTTTTTCTTGAAGACCCGCCAATCAGCAAGAGCCCTCACCCTCAGGACTACTGCTCCTGGCCAGGGGCCCAAGGCTCTATTTTATAATAAAGTTTTACAGTCCTACAAAACATACCATACAGACACAAGACTCAGGGCTGATTTCAATCTTTGGTATTTTTACTTTGCTAGGGCTTCTGGACTAGAATCATCTTCATGAGACCAGCCCACTGAAGTGGAAATCTCTCAAATCCCTTTCCACTCCCACCCCCACAGCACTAAGGCGAGTAGGAACAATGACCTTCTGCACCTCTGAAGCAGTCTCACCAAAGGAGCTACCAGTCAACCCTAGCAGGTGGGTATTGTTTTTCAGAGGTGCAATTCAATCGGTGGGAGAAAAGTGTGAAAGCTTAAGGCCCAGCAGTCAGCAAGCCCCTCCCCTTCTACCAGCCTCCCCCTGGCATGGTGAGCCAGGTGAAGCATGAGCCTTCAAGATGGTCCTATGTAAACTTAACTCTCAAAACCTGGCCTCCCAGGTTCCCCATCATATAACCTCAGGACATTTGTGATGTGACTCAGGTCATCAGTGTCTTTAATGTTTGTTTCTGAATATAAACAGGGTGACTTATGTGTAACGTTTACACTGGATTAAAAATTAATGCATTCCCTGGAAAACCAAATTCAAGACATTCCCATTACATGTGCCTTAAATGGCCAGGCTCCATTCCCCAAGGAATGCAGCCTACTCAAAGTTGAGGAGCTCACTTCTGCCTTAAGGCCCCTCCAATCCCCCTCACCTGTGCCACGTATTACGTAAATGGGGTTGACTACAGCACTGGCAGAAGGCCCCCAAGTAGTCGACCCCATGGAAAGCAGGGTGTACTTTGAAAAGGTCACAGCACACAGGAGATGCTGCCTACAGAAACAGCTCCAAGAACTACTGTGTTCTCGTCCCACAGCATGTAAGGAAGGGCTCTGCTGCATTCATGACAGCAACTGTGGCTCAACACAGGAGTATTTGATCAAAGTTTGCAAATTCCTCCCCCAAATGCACTGTATTACACTGTAAACATTATAGGGTTGCTGAGTCAGTGCTCAATTCAACAATAACCACCACCACCGTAAACATATTCAAGGGCGAGGAATCTAATCACTAGTGAAGCAACACCCTACAAAACACAAGGCTTGCCTAGTCTCAAGATATGATGGTCGTCCTCAGGTGTAGCCACTCTCTGCCTGACTAGCAGCTGAGAAAGCACTGGCCAATGGAGGCAATGCAGGGACCAAAGCCCCAGCACATCCACCTGATGTCCTGGCAGCAAGCACGCTGGAGGTGCAAGCCAGGGCTGCCCCGACACGAGTCCTCTTTGAAGGGCTTTGGGGAATCCTGAGAGCTTTAGGAACCGGTACTAGCCTGAAGGTGTCCAGTTAAAACGTGTTTACAGGAGGGACAACTGCTGTTAAGTGCTGTAGCCACTCATTATGGAGACACGTCGCTGGGAATAAGCCAAGCAGTACGTGGCTATGAAAATAGGCCATCACACTCTTAATTGGCTTTTCCCAGTAAGCAGGAAAAGTGGGATCTGATTACAGCGCAGAAAAAGCATGGCACTGTTAACACCACTAGGCGGCACCAGTGCACCCTGAGGTCTATGTTGGGAGAAATCCTGGGAGTGCACCCTTCAAGCAGTTGTACAGCTCACTCCCAAATGTAAGTGTGAGCAGACTGCATAAGGAAGTGTGAAGCCATAAGCTCCACAAGGACAATAGGTCCTGTTGACTGTTCGGCTATAAACTGGTTCATAATAGGACCACTGAAGATGGCACATGTCTTATTTAAGAAAATACTCAGTATTGTCTAAGGGGTTGCCCCCCCCCCCCCCGCCAGAAGTGTGCAACTCTCCGGATAATTAATGACAGAAAACAGCATTAAAAAGCTACGTTCACTGTGAAAGCTCAAATTAAGGAATAATGAGCTTCTTGCATGGTCCAATGAGTCTGACCGACTTCTTTTCCAAAGGTATTCCTAACTGTGCCAAACAAGGCTGTCTGCAGATGCCAAGTGGCAGCAAGCCCTTTGGCACAGGTGTCCCATGAACCACCCCGTTTCCTGTGCTGTCTTGGGGACATGGCAGTCACTGACCACCAACTCCCAGGTGTCGTTGTGTCTGGACACCAAGTTTTGTGTGATTATGTGAACAGCAGGGCTGAAATATAAGGAAATGCTTCTTTCCTATACTAAGCCAGACATGAGAACAAAGGTTCCCACATGTCTGTTTCTTCATGACCAAGATAGTTCCAGTGTGGAAAACCAAGATGTTAGTACAGGAGAGGAATGTTCTGCTTGCGCTCCACTCCAAAGCATACTTTAAAAATGAAGTTTTAAAAAAATACATTGCAGCCTTATTTTTTAATCTGAAAACACGGATACTTCCCAAATACCACTCCAGGTGGCACTGGTGCTCCTCAGTGCCGACTTCACACTGTGCATGGCAGCAGCACAGCCGGCTGGTCAGTCAGTCCCAGATAGGGAAGGTTTTTCAGATTATCTACCCTTCCCCTTACTGAAGCCCAACACCTGAGTTACCGAGACCATAAAGGTAATGGCGAAATACATACAACCCTCCAAAATGGATACAGAAAACTCAACGATGCAAATGGAGGCAGGTGGCCCTTCCTGGGTTTGCTTATCTAGGATTCTCAAAGTCAAGTTGAAACCTGAATTTTGTGCTGGGGTGGCTGTCCTAATCCATGAAGAACTGGTCCCGAACCACTGGAGTTAATGATGAAGCCGAAGGTGGACAGACGTTTCACTCCCCACATCCACATCTGGAGCTGCCGGTGCCTCCGGTGATCCAGTTGCCTCTGTGTGGCACCAAACCCAGGGCTGGTGCAGGGAATGGTGGCTCTTCGAGAAACTCCCAGGCCACCAACAAACCACCTGACCCCTCCAGGAAGGCTCACTCTGAGCCACGTTGTTTGTACCCAAACACTTTGCTAACTGAAGCCAATGACAGGGCACGTTTGTCTGTGGACTTCTCTGCAGCACCCCCACCCCTCACCCTCATAGGTGAGAGAAGCATGTATCCACGACCTTACTTTCTTCATGGTCAACTCCAGGCTGGTGGCAAATGAAAGCTGCAAAACCTTCAATCAATGAAGTGGCAAAATTCGTACCCGTCTGTTAAGTCTAATTCTCGAATTTTTTTGATGCCCAAGATTTAAATATATGCATGTTGATGTTACAAGGGAAAAAACATCAGGGAGGTCAACTATCTTAATGAACACTGTGCTCTGGGGCAGGAGCTAGATAGAGGTTTCCTGGGGTGACTGTGGATGCAATGCAACCAGCAAGCCACCAAAGGGACTCTTCTCCACTTGGAGCAGTACTTGAGCACTCTACCTAACCAGTTAGTTAGGTCCAAAGAGGAGGTGAACTCAGCAGGGCCAATTCTGCAGGGAACCCCACCCATGGCCACAGAGGCCACCCAGCTGTAGCTAACAAGTCCATGTGCACACCAAATATGACATCTTCTAACCCAACCTTTTGGAAAGGTTATAAAAGACACAATAATGTAAAGTCTATTAAAAAAATGTCATCATCACTGACAAGATAACCCAACTAAATGAATCTAAACATTACAAATGTCAATAGGAATCTCTTCTGAGCAGTAAATTACTGAAGAAACAGAGTTGTGGTATTTTGATTTGGAAATGGATTCTTTTGCCTAAAATCAGACTCATTTTCACTGCTGTGGATTAAGTCCAGAAGAGAGGCACTAATGGCCCACGCACCCTCTAAATTCCTACCAAATATTCCTGGAGTCCAGTGCAGCCCCCTCAAGGTTGTCAGTGGAATACGCTTCCACAGACCATGCTGAAGGCCAGTGTCCTGGGTACATGTCCTCTCTTGGACCCACCTCCTTATCTAACAGGGCCACCTCAGTTAAGAGGCACGGCAAACAGTCTGCATTTGGATTCACAGGCTGGGTGGGGGGCGGAGGGGTGTCTTAGTTTTCATTCGTACATACATACAGGTGATGTAGACTGCAGAGATATCAGTCCCTGGGGTTTCACACCATCTAAATGAGCTATGGAAGGGACCCTAAACAGTTAAGAAGGGAAACGTCCCCATGAAGACCATCAAAAATCTTAGTGAGCTAGAATGAGAGACTGTCAAACTGCCTCACCCCCCGACGAAAATGGGAGGTGTACTCAGTGAAGATGATGAAATAAAGTAGATCAAAGATCTAAGAGCAAAAACTGTCATTATATTGGTGGGGAGGAATAAAATTCACATAGATTCTAGAGATAAAAGAGACTGCACCACAGTATTTCCAAACATTTTTAAAAACTAATTGGAGAGGATGTGTAATTACATCACTTGGAAAAAGCCCAGTGACACTTTGGCAGAACAGGAAAAAGCTGCTGTCACAGAAAGGTCTTCCCATGGTTAACAGGCTTCTCCCCACCTCCTGTTGAGAAGCAGTACCTGTGCCATCCACACCCAAGGTCAGCATGATCGGACTGAGGAGAGCCCATCCAGGACACTCCACAGGCTGCGGTATCCTGGCTTCTGGACTGCGAACACTTTCAAGCCACATGCAGGGCTGTGAGTGAACCAGCTCAAGACAGCTTGTGTGTGCAGCCAATGCAGGGACCTAGTCCTGCAGTGGCCTCCCACCACTTCTCCCCTGAGCCCCTCCTGGTGAAGCAGCCAGAGAGGCAGGCCAAGTTTCCTTGTGAAGGAATAGGCTTCTGGATTTCAGCTGGGGCCCAGGAAACCACCCCTACTGCAAAATGAAGAGGTGATTTAGGGCAGAGAAGGGAGTCATGGAACTGTTACTCACCACGGCCGAATTCTGGTCACTCACCAATGACCCTACTCTCCTCCCAATCATCTTTTGGGATGACCATTAAGGGACAACAAAAACTGATCAGAAGCAACTAGCTCAGAAATCGTTCAAGTATATGTAGAAATTATGGAGCTCCCAATTGGAATTCCGAGCCGAGGGTGCACTAGTACTAGGAAGACTAACCTGCCATTTATCTGCCCCTAACTTTCTGGCCTCGAATTTCAGTAATGAGTAGATGTGTGGGTGGGAGGTACAGAAAAAGAGTGGAAAAGGTCAAAGAAAAAAACCTCATGAGCTGAGAAATGTAGACTCCACACTAACCTTGCAACCCCTCCTTCCTTTCCCTACCCTTCTTTAAAACTGGGCCAAGTGGGTATTCTGGGTGCACCAGACGATGGGAACCACTATTCTGTCCCTAACTCTCCATCAGCTTTCCCTTTCTCCATGCACACACTCTCCTAAAATTCCACAATCGGGAAGTCTCAGGAACAGCACCCAATTCTGGCAGACAGATGGAGATGAGTGGAAGGTCCTCGGTTGTCACTGTCTGAGCTGTGGTGTGGTCCCAGGGCTGCGGTCCTTTATTCCGTATGTACCTGTAACCAACTTAGAGCACCGAGCACAGACGGCTGGACTTATTTTAAAGTATGCTTGTCACTCTTGTGCAAGTACTAGTTCTAGGCTGTGAGAGTGTGACACATCGACGGGAATCGGAGAAGCGTTGTTAGCTTGAAGTCCACTCAAATGGCCTAAGATGTCCTGAGACTTACTTTGACAGTGCAGATGGTATTTAATACCTCATTTCTACCATCTGACCTTAAAACATAAATTATTCATTTCTTAACTCGTGGCACTGTTCACATTCTGAAAACCAGCAAAGTGATGGTCGTGCACACTTCTAATCATGCTGTATTTAAAATCTACCTTCAAGAGCACTGTCCTTCAGACGACTGGTTAACGGGCTGGAGCATGCAGCATTTTTCATGGAAATCTGGGACTATCCAATCCAGTGTGTAAGAGAGTAAGTTCCCTAGGTAGCGGCAACAAAAACAGGGCCAGAATGCTAGCCACAAGAAAAGATTCGAAAAAATGTAGTTCTGGAGTACCAGGTTGGGGGAAAAGGACAGATACGAGGGATCCAAGCCACATTATCTAAGGTTAAATGATTGGAAATACAGATTTAAAAAAATGGAGGGAACATGCGTGCGATGAAGGCCTGGAAAACAGCTTCACCAAGTGACTTACCTGCAGCAAGGACAAAGAGCACGTCACACCCACTCACTGTGGAGCATGCTATGCAGTAGTAAACGGGCCTCTGAGTTTGTGTAGGTGTGTAGCATGTGAACTGGACATCAAAAAAATTTCTGCCTATCGACTCAAATGAAGCCTTATTCCTGACATGATGTGTGAAGTTAGTACTTGCTACAGTACTTGTCGGCAGAGATAGCCACGCACAGTGATGGATCTGGAAGCTGAACAGAGGTAACATAGGAACCTGTAGACACACAGCTGCCTCCGCCAGGCTGTGACAGCTGGTCAGACAGTGCATACTGGTGCTACATGGTGGTTGGTTCTAGACATCACACTGGCTGACAAGGACCCAAATACTTACCAGATTCTGAGAAGAAAATGAGAGATTACAGAAACCAAGCGTGAGGTGAACAGGAGCAATGAGGTTGGTACAAAGGGGTGGGAGGACAGTGGTGAGAATGACCGGCCTCAGACGCACACGGGCCTCAGGAGGCATCTGCTTCCATCGTGGGAAGAGCAGCCAGAGTGTGCAGCAGAATATAAACGTGGCTGCCACGCTCAACTGTGGCCAGCCCTGTGGCTGTCCCCGAGAACGGGAAGGGCCCCTTTGGCAGAGCTCCCTAACCCCTAGAAGATACATACATTTATACAACAGTGATGCTGAAATAGCAGCAGTCTTTTCCGGCTTTATGGCATTGTAATTGTGATCGCTCGCCCAAGATGGCGTGCTGCTCTCAGGTGTTGTTTCCGTAACCAGTGCTTCAATCCTAGAAGGTGCCACCAGAATCTTCTTGGCAACATTTTCTTTTTAGTCTGGAGCTGGTCTCTTGAGCATAGGAGAAATTCTAATGCCTGCCTGGATAATTAATAAAGTTGCAATCACTGGGGTGGTCAGAAATGACACCTTCACAACAAAGGCTGGGATACTACCCACCCCTGGGCCATCTGCATCGCCGCTCATCCACCCAGACCTCCCACACCAGACTGTTGAGAACCCCATGTGACAGGCCAACTCTTTCAGGGAGACGAGAAGAAAGGAGACGAGAGGAGATCTCTGACCCACAGCACTCTGTGCCATGGAAGGACAAGGCTGCTGGGTGAAGAACAGGCCAATGGAGGATGATCACAGAGTCTAAGCAGGAAGCTATGCACCTGAGCTTTGGTTGGTGTTTTTTTGAGGTGATGGTGCGGGTGACAATGGGAAAAAGACAAGCACATGAGTGGCATGTCCTCTTTAAGTCTCAACAGGAAGTTGACAGGTGCTGGGACCATGACAGAGGTTTAGCATCTTCATGATCTGTTACAGCCACTGCTGCTATGCGTCCAAAGAAGTCATCTACTCTACTTTCATGTGTCATTAGGTAGAAAGCCCAGCTCAGAGGAACCCTGTGGAGCAGCACAAACTACCCACAGAGTTTCCTAGACTGTGATCTTTAGCAAAGGAGCATGCCAGGACTTCTCTCCATGGGCTGCTGAGTGGATTCAAACTGACCACAGTTCAGCCAGCAGCCAAATAATTAACCACTGCTCCACCAGGGCCCTAAAGCATTTACAATCAATCAGAGAGAATCCCAAAGAGCATGGGGTATGCTCTGCTCCTCTTAAGCTTAAATCTAATGGTTGGAGTCAAATGACGAAGACAATCCAAACAGAAAGGCCGGGGCTGGTCTTTAAGGATTAGTCTGGTTTTCCCTGAAGTCCCCGGATTCCTCCCAAACCATGTGTGAGGGGAAAAAAACAGCCACCAAGGAAAGCCAAGTGTGAAGTGAAGCAATCATCTGCTCACACTCTGCTGCCTCCTAAGTGCCCTGCCTACACCAACTACAGGGTTAGCAGGCTCCTTGGCAAGTCAGCCTGGCTCACCACCACAGTCTGTATCCCTAGGACTTAATCTCTCAGGAGAGGGCAGAGAAACAAGAAAACAGGTAGGTTAGTGTTCTGAAAATAAAATTGGTAGTTGAAAACAAATGACACTGTATGATATTTATATCCGTTGTATTTACAAATAAATCTAAAAACAAGTCAACACGGTGACACACTTTCCTTAAATTGTTCAAAAATGGCCAGTTAACTTACCTGGACACTACATTTTGGAAGAATGAGCTTTTCTGCTTTCACCCTGGGCTTCTCTTTCAGCTTTGGTTTTTGTTCTTTACTAGAACTTAGGAATTTCATGGTCACTGCAGCATGCTTGAGAATGCAATCACTGCAGCAATAAACTGAGTCCGGCTGCGCCAGGTTCGAGCACCCAGGGCCAATACACTTCGAGGCACCAGGCGTCTCGATTACCTGCAGAAGGAAACAAGTGCCCTCAAACAAAGTACTAAGCACAGCAGTTGAAATGCAAACTCAACCAAGCATCATCGAGTTGGAACTGACTCCTAGGACCCTATCCTGGATTTTCAAGGCTGTAAATTACAAGGAAAGAGAGTGTCTACCTTTCTGTCCCAGTGTGGTTGGTGATCTCAGCAGACAGGAAGCATGGCCTTTGGTTCTATGGATTACATCACCAGAGTGTCCTTTAATATGATCAGATGCTAATCAATATTTTTTTAATGTGAGGAACATCTTTTGTTTATTCAAAATGACAAGCTGTCCTATAGGCCATGGATGCTGGCAAAAATCTGAGATGATCGTCAAGAGTCCTATGCCCACCCTGTATGCTCCTATCTTGAGCGTGAGCAGAACCTGGAAACACGCAGGGCTTCACACCATTAAGAGTCCCTCATATACGTCAAACATACAGGGATTTATAGATGGATTCAAGACTCCAAATGAGTAGATCTGGAGTTCATCACTGGGCCTGATTAACCAGAGAAAGACCTCCAAGAAAAAAAATCTTGGTGGTTCTATTTTTTGAGTTCTCACACTGTGAGGGACCTATGTGGGCTGATATGGGGCAGAAGTGCTAATGTAGGGTGCCTAATTAGGAAGCAGTCTCAAACAACAAATGCCATTTAGGTATAGAAGCATACCACAGAAACGGCACTGGCAACTGTACATTAACCCCCAAGAGCCTGTAGTCAACATCTTTCCCAACAAGCCTCTGATGAGATTACAGCCGAGCCCCTTGGGAGGAACTAGCTAAGCATCACCACCCCCAAACCAAGGGCACGATGAGATCACAATCCTTTGTCACTCTGAGCCACCAAGTCAGTTACACAGCCCGCAAACTCTAAACATCACTGAGGTTTTTTTACAATTACTAACATATTTTGGTGGTTAAGACACATGAGTATCTTCTAAATTCAGATTAAATAATTAATCAAATATTTATGATCATTATTTTCCTCCCTAGAATTTAAGGTTCACCTAAAGGAAAATTTAAGATTGAAGTCTCAATCATAAAATCAAGACACTTTAAAAATAAGTTCACACTGTCATTGTCTTAGATTCTAATACTCCATTTCTATCTAATAAATCTGTGGAAGTGACCTAGACCCCCACATTAAATGCACTCTGTGTGAAACCTCAAATGCTTGACGCTCACAGCCCCAAAGCCTCTGCACTCCCAGCTGTCGAGGGATGAGCAGAGAGGCAGGCACAAGCTGTGGGCCACGGCTGGCCATCACCCAAGAAGGCTTGGAATGAAAACCAGCGGAGTCACACCCCTCTCCTGGGAGGTGGAGAATGAGGACTGTAGGAGACAAGTCTGCAGCTTAAGGTGAATGCCATGTGGAGAACATGACAGAGAGCCGGTCACCAAGAAGCAGCGTTAAAGACCAGCTGCGGAAAAAAAAGGTGCACACTCAAGTGAGGGAAGATGTGCTGAACAAGGACATAGAGAACAGCAGGTAGCAGGGCTACATAGCGCCTGCACACCTACCCCAGGCAGGTCTGTCTCTAGTACACCCCACCCCCAACCCCTCAGTGCTTCTCAAAGGGAGACCAAAACTGTCTCAAGATGGTATCAAATGGCCCAGAGAAAAAGAAAAGCATTAAGCCAACAGTTATATGGGAGAAAACAGTGACAAGAGACAGAGGCGGTCTGGGAGCCCTAGAGCTGAGGACATGTTTGTGCTCCCGCTGTCCAGTCCAGGTGGCAGGGTGCTGCTGTGATTATAAACACAACATCTTATTCCAGACCAAAGATAGCTTCTGAGGCTGCAAGTCTGAAACATGTAAAGTCGACCCCTTGGGCAAAATACTCACAGGCTGAAATATCTTGAGTTTTTTTTTGCCACTTGGATTTGCAGCTTTCTCAATTCTACCCTTGATTCCTTGGTCTTCATTAGATTTTTGCTCCACAGTCCCTATGCTTGTAAAATCTGTGCCATCAGTATCTCCAGGTCTAAATTTAGATTCCTGCTGATCTGTGGTTTCTGAGTTAGTCTCATCCTGCACTTGCAGAATGGTACAATTTGGGCAGATATAATCTTCCCCGTTTCTTTCAAGAAGCCTCCCTCGAGCCTCCGAGATGCCTACGCAGTCACCGTGAAACCACTCTTCACAGCGGTCACAGCAGATCATAAACCTGAAGGGAAAAGGCAGCAGATTAGACACGAAGGCCAGAGAGCAACAATCAGTGTGGAAGATATTCCTATATCAAATTGGTTTTTAAGCTATTATAAAGCACAAAACAAAAAAGCAGAGAACAATAAGAAGCCCTATCTATAAACCCTTCTGATTTTATACTCTCAGCCAAATGCGCTGCTTCTTTTAGGAGTTTTCAAGAGTAGACCCCCACCCGAGGCACTACAGTACCTACCTCTACAAAACCACAATACCACCTCCAACCCATGAACAGACAGACAGCAGTTTCCTACCACCATCAAGATTAATATCCAATACCATATTCAAAAGCCCCAACTGACTTGAGGCCGCCTGTACATAGGATCCCTGTGGCATTCTGCCTGTGCTACTCTAAAACAATGCAGAGATGTCCGGTGGGGAGAATGTTCTAGTGTGCACTGTGGTATAGTGGCCAGTGGCCTTGTAGCAGTCACTTCCCTCTCACACATCAGGGAGGCAGTACGGCTCGTGGCGATCCCTAGCTCCTCACTGTTTCTTTATGGATGCTGTTTTATCTTTTTCAACTGAACACATTCTTGACTCAGGCCAAGTTACAAACCCTTTAAATCACAACAGTTCTCTCCAGCTCTGTGCACCCACCTCTCCTGGGACCCACCTGTTGTTATGAGGCTGTCTGCACAGACAGTAAAGGGCGTTGGGGTCATACACCTCACACTCTGGCTTGGGTTTGATGGCCTCTCTGGGCTCCTCCTCCGTGAGTCCCTGAGGGGCCTTCCCTTCCAGCCTGCTGTCCTCATCATCCCTTGCCGCCTGTTCAGGCTCTGGCTCTGGCTTACTGGGCAGTGTGCTTTCATCAGTGTGGCCTGCATCCACACCCAGAGTCTCTGCAGTCCTCGCGCAGCTTCTTTCGCAGGCGGTTCTGTACACCTTTCAGGGGCCTATCGGTTGGTTCCTGTTCTCGCTTTCTTCGAAGGCGATTCTGAAGTTCTTTCAGAGTCAGCCCATCACTATCACTATCGGAAGCGTCATCGTCCTCGTCACCATCTTTCGCCTTTTCAGAAGATGGCTGTTCCTTAGTGTCTACAGCACCAGGCTCTGGACCACTTTTGATCTCAGAGGTGCTTTCTACACTCCCTTCAGAGGCAGTTTCAATATCAGTGACTGGACATGATGTGGGCTCGCTTGAGTCTTCGAGGGAGACAGGAACGTTTTTCCTCCCTCTGCGGCGCACTGTGGTGAGGAACTCCTCCACCCTCTCAGTGCGCTTGGGCTGCCGCCCACTGCGCCGCAAGGAAAGGCTCTGCTGCGGCTGCTGAGGCGGCTGCTCCAGAGGCTCGGCCTCCGCATCCCCGGCGCCCTCACGCTTGGCAATCGTGGTTCTCCGGAAGCCCCAGGTTTTCCGAAACTCTTTACTTGTGGGTTTGATGGCTTTTGGTGTCTCGTCACTGCTCGGGTCTCCTTTATCATCCATGCCTGATGATAAAAACAATGCAGCAAATTTCTGTTTCTTGGGTACTAACCAATAACCCCCAGCTTCTGAAGCCCCACAACCGCAAGGCACAGGTCACATCCACCAATGAAACACGAGTGAGACTCCACCAAAGCAGGGCCTTGGGAGTGTGGCACCTGAGAGAAACTGAGATGAGTTGGAAGGAAAATTCTGATAAGTTACATATTTGATGTTTATTAGGGGAAGATAGGCAGCTAGCACATACACCTGACACTTGTACCATTTTACAGCTAAGGACCAGGCTTCACAGACCATGAAGAAACAGACTGTGGCCAACAGCTGTCTAGTGGGACACTACTGGAAGAAAGATGAGGTGTGTGCCCATGACTCCCCTAGGAGAGCAGGGGATTTGAACCATGTGGGTCTAGGCTCTGGAAGCCCTCTGCCCCTCTCCACACCATGGAGAAAGCACATGGAGGAGAGTTCCGAGCAGCACCCAGCCCTCCTAATCCAGGCCAGGCACTAGTGTAGACTTTGTCTTGAGCCTTCCACACCAGTTCAGCTACTGGCGAGTGCTAGTGTGCTTAGTAGATTAGCCAGTAGAGAGATGTGTCCACGAGTCCTGTCCAGGTTCCTGACCCACAGATGGTGACACAGAGAAAACAGCTCAGAGCTTTTGGGAAATACTGACGAAACAATTACGTGAAAGGAGTGCTTCGCTGCTTTCCTCTCTTCTGTAAGATCTTTTTTTTATCCTAATAGACTACTAAAAAGTCATGCTTGTGAAACCTTCACACTTTTATTAAAAAAATAAGACCTGAAAAAAGAAGAGTACATACCTGAGGATTCTTTTCTGAGCTGCCCAAGTTTTAACTGTGTCTAAATGTTAATGATGCCTCTGATTTTATGCCATGACCCATCCTAAGGGATTGATCAGCATGGAATGAAACCTTAAAAATAGAAAAGAAAGGAATTCACATTTTCCTGCAATTCAAGTTAGGAAGTTTTTCATTTTCTGCTTAGTCCTGTCAATAGGTAGCTCTAGATGCTAGGTGTTAAGAAGCTGCGCTAGGAGCTCTGGTGGCCTAGTGGCAAGAAGCTGCACTGCAACCCCAGAAATGAGTGGTTCAAATCCACCAGATGCTCCTCTGGAGAAGGAGGGACAGTCTCCTCCTGTTCCAGTCAGATCTGATTTGATGGTACACACACAAAAATAATAAAATAAAAATAAAAATAAAGAAGCTGCGCTGTAGTCCCAAAGCACACAGTTCAAATCTATCAGGTGCTCTGTGGCAGAGGGATGGGCAATCTCTTCTCATGTAATTTACAGCCTCTGAAAATGTGCCAGAGGGTCAATTATGTGTTCGTTTCAACACATGGCACACAACAACAGTCCTGCCAACAGTGATCACTGCTGTCTGTGGTGTCACCACACTCCCTGATCACTCAGAGGCTTATGGGAGTGAGGGTGTGATAATGTGTCATGTCTCAGGTCACACAAGGGGGAACCCACCTATAAAAGCTCAACTAAACTGAGGTGATCAACAGGAATTTCAACTCAGAGAGAATGCTGTCAGAGAGGAAGCTTCCTGGAGAGATGGTAAGTGTGCCTGAAGCCCTGAGAACAGACTGCAGCTCCCATGGGGAATCCTGACCAAGCCTAACCACACTGCTTTCAAAAATGTTCTGACAGTGGTTGCCCTGAAAACAGAGACATGATCCTCACAAACTAGGAATACATTATTTAGAAATATTTTTATTCTAGAAAGCTTATTCTTCTAGGAAAAGAAACGTTTCCACTTAATGACCACCTTAGAAAAACAGCAGGCCTCAACTTTCATGCAACTTTTGAGTTTCTACTGAAGATGCACTTTGAGGGGTCCTGGCACCAAAGTTATTAGTTGTGAGAGTCCCCATTAACCTCCCAACAAGGGCATGGGGGTGCATATTTCTGCACCTCAGAGGGTCCTTGGGGACACTCCAAAGCTCTGATCCCACTCCAGTGGGGTGGATTCCAGTAGGAAGAATTTGCTACACAAACAGTTCTCCCCAGAGAGAAGATATGCAAAATAAGTGCACATGCAGTAGCTAAGTAACCAATGAAAAACAAAGTTTCCAATCAAATTCTTAATAGATCAAACCTTCTGAAAAGCCTCAAGAGTATCTCTAAATAAACATGAATGATAGATCCCTTAATTTCTTGGCAAATAAAACCACTTCAGAAATAGAAAATACTATGAGAATTTTGTTGTTCAATAGTACTTTACCTGCTCCAGTGCTGAAAACTTGACCACTCTCTCTCTCCAAGTTCCAGACACAATGAAGAACCTGGTGGCTGAAATCACAGGCTCCAAGTCATGAAGAGTAAGGTCTCAAACCACGGCTGTCAGCAGTTACTAGTCACAAAAAACGAGATTTGCAACCTCAACCACACAAACTGTCTACTAAGTGCTCCCGTGGAGTGAAATCCTAAAATGAAGGAAGAAAAAAAATCTGTAAGTATACTTAAAGTACAACTGAAATAAGTTATCTTGCCCTGCCCACCAAAGTAAAAGGACATCAAACTTTTATAGTAACACATTATTTAAGTACATATACTCTACGACATAGAAAGGCATCTAAAATTCCAAACAATGTTTAAGATATGCCCCCCTTTAAAGATACGGGGACAAGAGACATCATCAATGAACTCTAAAGGTGGGCGGAGAGACTGGTCTCAGCAAGTGTGCTGTAGAAGACAGATCTTGAATGGTGTTAAAGTTCCACTGCATAGAGTTCTAGAAATCTCTATTCACACATTAGCCTCATTCCAATCACTACCCCTACTTGTGATGCAGACACAGCCCAGTAAGACCCATCCCGTAGCGGAGAGCCATGAGCAAGTGAAAAAAAGTGAACTGTTCCAATCAACAGAGGATGCCGAGGCCAAGGCCAAGACAGAAGGTCAGGCAATGGAGAAATAAATGCCTGCCACTAGGATGGTGAGGTTCCTACTGTTTCCTTTTAAAAATTCTTGTAGTGTTGCCAAATCATCAATTAAAATTAAAAATGTAACAAAGGAAAAGAAAGTAGAAAAGTTAGTAGAAGACTCCAGTTAATGACTACTAAGCAACAGTGTGATTTTTGGTCATCCATGTCCACACATAACCCACTTTTCTTGTTAAGCCCTCTTTCAAATGAAAAGCCACAACTACTTTTTTTTTGAGTGAGTTTACAAGCCTTATTGGTTTGATTGTTGTTGTTTTCCCTCTCTTGAGAACAGTTCTACCCTTTTCCCTAGACTTCTCCACAAAGCACCCCTTGGTTCCAGACAGTAATAACCATGTTGGTTTTCATGCAATTATTCATACATTATGTTATAATACTAATTGCAACTGGACAGTGTAATTAATTATAATACCAAAACTACTTTTAATCACTGCTGGAAAAAAATTTGTTTTTAGGTTGATCCTGGGTGCTTATCTTTTAAATAGGGCTTATCCTTCCCAGAGCCCACATTCCTGGAATGGAAATCAGGGTCTTACCTATTCTCCTGCCCCACTCCAACTGCCTCCCCTGTAACTGTGGTCTCCCAAGTGACCTCAGAACAAAGGAGTTAAACAGCCCCACCCACCTCCTTTTTAAAGAGACAGGGAACACAGCATCTCGTCTTCTAATTCCCCACTCTCCCTTCTGACTAGCACATCTCATCACACTGTATCCCAATCCCTTGACTCGAAGGATGGCTTCAAGAAATTACTTCTCAGAAGGAAATGGAAATATTCCCTCTGTACTCCACAGACTTGAGCACATATTTTAAAAAAGGAAAGTAATCAGGATGTTTTCAGGAATGGGGAAGATTAATTTTTAATCAATATTAAAAATCCCACTTAAATGTTAACCTGAAAAAATAAACTTGTTTTTTGATTGCCGTCCTTAAGAACTGACCAGAAGGGAAAGTGATTACTTTCATTAAGTGGAATGAAATAACACACATTTTCAGAACAGGTCAGATCAGTTTAGACAAAGTCATATATTCCAACTTTGTTTGAAATATTAGTTTCCTCTCACCATTTCTTCAACACAATTTTGACAAAGTGTGAAATTTTCAAAACATACAAGTGCAAAATTAGAAACTATAGCAAATGAAAACAGGATTGAGTCAGGTTAATTATTTTCTTCAAAAAGGAAGTAGAAAGTGGCATCTCTGACACTAGTGAAAGTGAAACTGTGGCTAACATTATACTTTAATAATTTAAAAAGGTTTTTTTCCCCTACATTCATAAACTCAAGGCAGGGTTAATGTTATGAAAGGTCATGCTTTTGAAAATAAATAAATAGATTAATGCTTCTTAGTGACCTGTTAAAAATAAAGCCCAGAGATAGACGGCTGCCTGAAAAGTGACCTTGTAACACTTGAACCAGCTACTCTCAAACTTTTTGGTCTCATGCTTGTGAGTTATATCCATTGATGTTTCAAAAATGAAATATATTAAGGGAGCCCTGGTGGCCTTGTTACAAGAAGCTGTGCCATAATCCTGAAGGCGCATGGTCTGAATCACCAGATGCTCCTCTGGAAAAGGGTGGGCAATCTCCTCCTGTACCAGTCAGATCTGACTTGATGATACACAACAAGAAAGAAAGGAAAAAAAAATCCTGTATTTATAGTTGTTAATTCCTATTACAAATGAGTAGTTTTTAAAATGGAAAAATTAACATTCTCCATAGCATCACTAGGGAGCACTGGGAGTGTAGTGGCAAGAAGCTGTGCTGCAATCCTGAAGGCACGTGGCTGGATCCCACCAGCCTCCCATGCGTTCAAACTGCCTCTGAAAACCCGAAGTCAGCTCTGACTCAATTGTACACAACAACAGTATCACTGGGTTTTTTTTTTGTCATTCTGCTTAAGAAAATCAACATACACTGTAAACACATACATTTAATATATAATAAAAATTTAAAAATACTTTCTCTAGTTTACCAGTTAACAATTTTTATACTAGCTTGCCTGCATTTAACTTACTGCTATACACAAGTCTGGC